TTGCCAATATGAATAATTTAAAAATGTATTAACAGTGAATGCAAAACAAGCAATTTATTATAAATACAATAACATTTATATGTAAATAATAATCTTTTAACCAGTTTCACTATTTGTTTTTGTTTGAAAATAATGAAAAATAAAATAATTACAAATAATCGATTCATATCTTACTTCTTCGATGGTAACACGACGTAACTTTTAATAATGACTTTGTCACCATTGAAATATCAATAAACCTTGTGTTGAACAAAGTTTATACAAACACAATTTTATTTGACTGTTTAAGTCATTTTCGAGAATTTTTCTCGGTTTTTGATACTTTTGAAAACGTATTTTAGTTATTTATTTATTTTATTTTACACTTTTTTTCTGAGGTTTTTTTTCAAAGTCGGAACAAACAAAAGTGTCTTTGCGTCTTATTTTTTAGTATTATAAAAACATATTAAAAACCTTTATTAAAAAAATTTATTGTATTTTTAAAGTTAACAAAAAAAATATTTTTGTGATAATTTATTTAAGATCAATTGTATATTGAAATTTCAATACACCTCGATGTCTATTATTAATTTTTTTCTTTGTTATTTTATGATGTAATTGGTTTTTGAATATTCCATACAAATATGTTTTATAATATGATTTAATCTTTGTTATTTTTTATATTTATTTTTATTATAGTAATTAGTTGTAAACATATCAATAAAATTTGATCTGACTTTTCCATTGAACTGTGACTTGTTTTAAAAGATCATGCAAAAAAGTTAATTTTTGTTTGTCCTCACTTCAACAAAAATTCACTTTTTTTACTATAATTTATTACATTTTACTATAAAATTTATACTAAAGCCGTCGTTCCAGGGTGTCTAGCTTTAAAAAAAATTAAATAAAAAGTTCACATTTACATTACAATTAACTAAGATTTTTTTTTACAAATATTTTTTTCCCTCGAAAGGTTATAGGTATTATTTTTTTCGACACATTGTTTAATAACTTCACAAGATTTAGTTTTTATATTAATAACAATTTGTATATTCATAGATGTAATAAAAATGACGTTCGAAGTGGTTGAAATGTACTTGATTGTTTATGTATTTTCAAATACTCATAGTACATCACCAAATATGAAAAATATTTATCGGCTTGAAAATATTTGTTTTAAAATTTTTGGTGTTATTCTCGCGTATATCCAAAAATTTTATTAAAATTATATTTTCAATATTATATCTTATTTAAATTAGTTCTTATTTGTTAGTTTGTTTGAGTAATATCCTGTGCAGAAAGATGTTTGGGAAAAAAATAAAACGGGCATACCAGTCTTTTTTAAAAGACTAAATGATATAAAAATAAAAAAACACCGCTTAATAAAAAAATAACAGGAAAACAAGGAAAAGTGTTAAGAAGATGATTAATCTGTCTATTTGTACAATTATAATACACATTATAGCATGTGTTTAATCAATTATTTTTATTTGAAATTGTGTTATTAATATAGATATTTTTTATTTTATTAACTATCATTTAGAGTAGAAAGTGTTAAAGTAAAGTCGAGAAAAATAGTTTAATAATCTAAATATAAATTTATTTTAGTGTTTATATTTTTTTAATTAAAGACTTGAGACATACTTGCACAAAGCGCCATAATTGCACTGGCTTACATGGCAATACCGTTTCACATAAAAAATGGACAAAATGAGATAAAATAATTAAATAAAAAAGTTAAAAAAACCCTGGAAAATTGAATTTTTATCCAAAAATTAATGAAGAAAAACACATTTTAGAAAACAAAAATCATTTAATAGTTTGCTCAAATAATATTTAGATTTAATTTTATACAATTAATAAAAGAAATTATGGCATAAAATAGTCTTTCATTATTCACATTTTATATAAAGTAATAATAAAAAATAACGTGTAAATTTGAACATCTCCTATAAATATGTATCTTAGAAATAATAAATTAAATAAAAGACTTGCATGCATAGATTCGAAAAAATATTTATCATTCATATTAAGTTTTTTTATAGGTATATTCGTTCAATTTAATAAAAAACTATATAAAAAATTAATACATTTTATTTTCATAATACGATTCAAATTAATAATAAAAATAGAAAATGTTTTAAAAAATCTTATTGGAAATAAGAAGTTTGATAACTTATTGAATACAGAACTTATTCTTGTATGATTAAGTTTATTATAACTATATTGATAATAACACATTTTATTAGTTAATAATATTGTACTATTATTATATCAGAATTTAAACAAATTAATTTTAATAATTATTATATCATTTAGAATTACATATAATATTATAACTTATAACTAATTTAAAAATGATCCAAATTAAACCCACTTTAAGAACAAATTAATTACACAATTGATATGTTATCAACTTTTGAATTGATTAAATATTTAATACAAAAATTATGGGTTTAATATTTATTAAATTACAAACATATAATATTTAATAATTTAATCAACAATATTTAAATAACTTTTGGACTTTAATACAAGACAAACAAAAACACATAACAACACAACAATAACAAAAAACAAACAAAAAATCAAAGAAATTTTTATAAAAATGTATAGTATATAAATTTAAACACAAATAGTTGTTAATTACATTATATTGATAGTTGTAGAAATTAAATATAAGGTGCCAAATAAATATTGTTTTCAGTTGACACTACCAACGTTAAATCTTCAATTGTTTCATTTTTGTTTAATAAGTATTTTTACTAAATGCTACAATGACTTGAAACT